GAATGACATCAGTACGGAGCGGAGAGGGCGGAGCGGGCGGAGGGGGCGGAGGAGGAGGAGGAGGAGGAGGAGAAAGGGAGGGAGGGGGAGGGGGAGGGGGAGGGGGAGGAGGAGAAGGAACAAATTGAGTGTTTGATTGGCCCCAGTGGCGCTGCGCCAGGTACTCGGCCGCTGCTTCCGCATGCTGGTCGAAAGCGATTGTTTTGCCGCGGATATCTCTTGCGTGGTAAGGCTGCGGTTGGTAATCGGATTTTAGGCTCCGGATTCCCATCCATCTGTCGCGGATGTCTAGGTCTCTGGAGAGCGTTTGCAGAACGGCCTCTTTCTTGTCCTTCCGCTTGCTTTTTCTGAATTCTTTGTCCAGCCGGTCGAACTCCTGTGGGTCCTGCGCACGCACCGCATCCCCGCGCGCGGCGAGGAGCTGCTCTGTGCGGCTCGAGAAAGCGACGCTTCTCGCACGCGCCGGCGCTCTCGGCATTAGCCTCTCTGCTAGAGTTGCAAGCTCAGTAGCGTAAGTTGACGGGTCCTTCAAATCACTGCACCGGGCGGAGATCTCCCGATTAATGGCATCTTTGTCAGCATCCGAGCATTCTGCGTACTTGATCCGCGCTCTTCCGGGCTGGGGCAGTGCTTTGAGCCGTACCAGGACAGTGGCCGATACGGGATAGTGGTCAGTGTTGATATTAGCATCGGTGTCAGTTTCAGCGTTTGTGATTGAGTTTTTCCACCTCCGCGGCGTGATGATGAAATCAAGCTGTTCATAGGCGTGGCGGTGAAAAGGCGTGCCCCTCTGCGTGCCTGGCGCTCGGTACGTGGCTAGCTTACTGTCGGGTTTTCGAAACCACGTATTGGCTAGACGTAAATGGTTCAGGTTTGCAAACTCAATGAGTAACTGGCGGTTTTGCCATACCTCTGGCGACATGTCATATGGGTTGGCTGAAATGGCGTGGAATGTGTGCGGCCCTACCGTGCTACTCTCATCTTCACCGTATCGCGTCTGCACTCTGGCGTTAAAATCTCCGAGCATGTAAGTCGGCCCTCGGTTTTTGTGCGCTGCGTAAGCGCGCTGCAATTTTTCGTAAAACGTATCTTTCTCTTCTTCTGGTCTGAATGCCTGGGGAGCGTAGAGTGCAAATAAAGCGATTGGTCTGGCGCGGTTGAGCTTGAGTACGCTGATGCGGTCATTAACGGGCTCCACATCTGTTACGTATTTTATTAGATCGTTGCGAATAACAAAGCCTACTCCGGCTGCAAACTGCCCCGCCGAGACGTGTTCTTCCCCGCTGAAGAGCCAAGTGTACTCATTCCGTGACTCCTTACTGTTTTGAGCAATGTGCGTTTCTTGGAGTGCCAAAATATGTATGTTTTTAGCTTTCATCCATGACTCAATTTCCTCCCGCTTCCCTGCTTGCCTCACCCCGCGTGCGTTTAGTGTGGCGATTCCTAATGCTGTTCCTGTGGGCATTTTTTCTGCGTGGTTACGGCGACTCCTGGGTTCCTGAGCCGTGGCTGGAACCATTTTTGGTTTGCTTCGAGAATGCGTTGCCCCCTCTGTGTGATGAGCGCTTCGCGCTCGCCTTCTTGCTTCCCTCCGTTTCGTCGTGCGTTGCTGCTGTCGTCTGGCCTGGGCCAAGATGCTCCTCAACCCGCGCGCCGTGTTCCGCGGCCTCGAGTCTTCGGAAGCCACATCGGGGGCGTGGCTGTTCGGTCTCCGCTGGGGCGGACCCCGCGGCTGACCCGCTGCACCTCTGACGGTGCTATCACTGACGTGATCGGTGAGAGGGTTGCGTCCCTCGGTTGTGGGAGAATTTCCTTCTCCTGCTACCTCGCGTTGCGCATGATGCGAGAAAGGCTGTTGCCAGTCCTCGCTTCGCGCGGGGCCCGCCCGAAAGGCTGCTGCCAGTCCGGGCAGGCCGCCAGAGCGACGATGGGCTGTTGCCCCTCCGCCGCCTGGCATCTTCAAATTCACATGATTCACTCTGCCTCGAAGAGGGGTGCGTGGCTTTATGCCTCGCAGTTTCCGTAAAATCCTGTTGTACTTCCCAAGGAGGGTCGCTGAGATAGTGAACGCGGTGCTCTCCCCCGCTGCCCGGGGCACTCCCCGGGGTCTCTCTGAGAGCAAGTGCTCCCTTGAGTAAGCGTAGGACATGAGATTCCGTCCGTCTGGAGCCGCCTGCCCCTGTGGAGGCTGAAGAAAACGGTCACACTGCACCAGCCGCGTCTCCACCAGGAGCCGGGCAGGGCCAGCCTTGCGTCCACTTGTCTGCTCCTCGTGGTCAAGCCCCTCGCTGTGCTTATCTCCATCGTCCCCAACGCGTCCGCTGCCTGTGCTTCGGCGGAGCTGGGGGGCGGGGCGGGGAGAGGAGGGAGGAGGGCGAGGGGGGGAGAGGAGCGAGGAGTTCGCGCGTCCCGGGCCCTCCGCCCGCCCCTACCTCAGCGCCTTGGGTTTTTTCCCCACCGTCGTGACCTTGTCCAGCACGGTCGTCTCGATGGCGTACAGCTGGCTCTTCTCCCCGGCCTTCTCCACGAAGCGCCTCCCGAGGTCGTTGCCGTCGTAGGTCTTCCCGTTGTGCTTGAAGCTCGTCTTGAGCGCCACAGTGGTGATCATCTCGTCATCGTCGTTTGCTCCTGCGAGGATGCACGCCCCGTCGTGCTCTCCCAGCGTGATGCACCACTCTGCCTTGTATGTGGATGCCGGCCACCACGTGTAGAGGTCCTTTTTGGCGTCCGGGCCAAGCATTTCCTTCAGCACGGCGAACGCGACGCGCGGCATCTCGGACACCATCTGCTTCAGCGGCCCGTCCCCCATGTAGCAGAACATCACATCAGACTGGCCCTTCGTAGCGATCCAATTCTGAATCTTGTCGAAAATGCGCTTCCTGGCGGCCTGGATCTTCACCTGCACTATCACCGTCGCCCCCTGCGGGCTCACGCTGCTAATTTCGTTCAGGACCGTGTTGCTCAGCTCCTTCGTAACCCCGTCTACGGCCAGGTAGAACGCCTTCATGGTGACACTCTTGCTCTTCTTCTGGAGCACCACGGAATTGGCGTGCAGGGCGTCGAGCTTCTGCAGGGCCTTCGTCTGCGCACCCGTGGTCACCCACAGGCGCTCCACTTTGTCCGCGAGCTCGTTGCCCCCGTCCTTCTGCTTGCCCCCGTCCTTCTGCCCCTCGTACTCTTCCTCCTCCTCCTCCCCCATGGCCTTCCCTCCCTGCATCTTCATCCCGTGCCCGGCGGTGTCGAGCCTCCTGCGCGCTGCCTTCTGGTCTGCCAGAAGCTCTTCCACCCACTCCCAATGCGCGGACATCGTCATGGCGACGTCCTCTGAGAACCCCCTTCCAACCGTTTTCTCCTCCTGGAACCTGTTCTGGAAATCCCCCTTCGACTCGATAACCGGCATGTCCCTCCCACTGATGCCTGTCTCTACCGCTGCTGCTGCAAAACTGGCCTGAGCCACAACAGCTTAATAAAAATAATACTACCAATAATACGACCAGAGCAATAGTCGTGTAGTGGTCGTAGTCGCCTCCGCGGTCGTACCCGTAGCCATGGCAGTGCTGGTGGTGGAAGTGTTGGTGGTGGTGGTAGACGTAGTCGTAGTAGTAGTGGTAATGTTAGTAGTAGTGGTAGTGGTAGTGGTAGTAGTAGTAGTAGTAGTAGCAGTAGTAGTAGTAGTGGTAGTAGTTGTTGTTGTAGTAGTTGATGTCAAAGCTTTAGTCGTCGCAATAACAGTGGTGGTGGTAGTAATAGTGGTCGTAGTGGTCGTAGTCGTAGCCGTAGTAGTAGTAGTGGTAGTAGTAGTAGTAGTAGTACTAGTAGTAGTAGTCGTCGTATAAGTAGAAAAAGCAAGAGTAATAGTAACTGTCGTGGCCGTAGTAACAAACACATGGTCGTAACATTAGTCGTCGTAGTAGCAGCGGTAGTCGCAAAAGTATTCGCAACACTAGCAGTAGGGGTAATAACAGTAGCAAACAAAATCGTAATCACAATCGTAGTGCTCGTCGTAGACTTGATACCCGTAAACATACAAGAAGTACTAGTAGTCGTCGTGGCAGTGATGGTGGTAAACGTTGTTTTAGAAGTAGTACTAGTCGTAGTAGTAGTAGTAGTAGTAGTAGTAATAGTAGTAGTACTAGTAGTAGTAGAAGTAGAAGTAGTAGTAGTGGTGGTAGTAGTAGTAGTAGTAGTAGTGGTAGTAGTAGTAGTAACCGTCCGAATAGTAGTCGTAGTAGCACAAGTAGCCGTAGTCGTAGTAGTCGGAGTCGAGGTGCTAGCAGCCGTATCACTAGTAGTAGCAATAGCTGTAGTAGTCGTAGGAGTAGTAGTAGTACTAGTAGTAGTTGTTGCTGTAGCAGGAGTAATGTTAAAAATCGTAGTAGTCCTAATCGTAGTCGTAATACCAGAAGTAGTCGTAGAAGTAATACTGGTAGTAATAAAAATAGTAGCAGCCGTAGCAGTAGCAGTAGCAGTAGTAGTAGTAGTAGTAGTAGTAGTAGTAGTAGTAGTAGTAGAATTAGTCGTGGTCGTAGTCGTAGCAGTAGTAGAGTGGTAGTAGTGGTAGTAGTAGTAGTAGTAGTCGTAGTAGTAGTAGTAGTAGTAGTAGTAGTAGTAGATGTAGATGTAGATGTAGTAGTAGTAGTAGTAGTAGTAGTAGTAGTAGTAGTAGTAGTAGTAGTAGTTGAAGTAGCTGAAGTAGTAGTAGTCGCAGTAGTAGTAGTAGTAGTAGTAGGCGCCGCAGTGGTATTAGTAGTGGTGGTAGTAGCTGCAATAGTAGTAGTCGTAGTCGTAGTCGTAGTAGTAGTAGTAGTAGTAGTAGTAGTAGTAGTAGTAATCGTAGTAGTAGTAGTAGTAGTCGTAGTAGTAGTAGTAGTAGTAGTAATAGTAATAGTAGTCGTAGTAGTAGTAGTAGTAGTAGTAGTAGTAGCAGTGGCAGGTATTAGTAGTAGTAATAATATTAAGAGTAGTAGGTTCATAACAAGTAGTCGCAATAGTCGTTACAGTAAGCAACTGCAGTTGTAGCAATCATGGCAGGACACGGCGCAGCATAATAATGGGTACGTCGTAGCTGCTGTTGGTGCGGAAATAGCACGCGGAGGAGGATCAATATCGGGATGAACAGAAGGTTTGGGAGGAGCAGCAAGAGAAAAGGAGGAACATCAGCAGGAGCAGCAGAGGCAAGTGGAGGATAAGCAAGAGGAACATCAAACGGAGCAGCAATAATTGAATTAGGAGGCGCAGCAAGAGGAGCAACAGGATAGAAGCGCAGCAAGAGCAGGAGCAACCGGAGCAGGGAGGAGGAGCACCTGAGCAGCAACCAGGAGCAACAGAAGAAGCAGCAAGACGATCAGCAGATGAAGAGCACGGCAGCTTCTGGAGAAGCAGGAGACAGATGGGGCTAGACAAGCACGAGGAGGAACACGATCGGGAGGACACCAGAGGAGCAAGAGCATCAGGAGCGGCAGCAGGGAGGAGAGCAGCAGGAGGAGCAGCAGCATGAGCAGCACGATGCGCAGCAGGAGGAGCAGCACAAGGCGCAGCAGGAAGAGCAACGGAAGGAGCGGGAGGGCCAACAAGAACACACGCAGGAGAAGCGGGGAAAGAAAATCACGGGAGGCAGCGGGAGCAACAGCAGAGCAGGAGCAGCAGGAGGAGCAACAGGAACAACAGGAGTGGCGGCCACAGAATCAGCAGGAGCAGGCAGGAACAGCAGGAAAAAGGGAGGAACGCAGCAGGAGCAGGAGACGCAGCTGGACGAGCTCCCGATTAATCATGCCTGACTCCAATCGTCACAACAGTCTGGCTACTGGTTAAACTTGTAATGCTGTACGCTGCGTGGCGGCGGAGAGAACGTGGCCGGTGGAGCGAGCCGTGATTTATCTTACTGCACCTCCCTCCCCAGAATGTCCTCCCAAGCGTAACTCCTTGAAACCACTCCTCCATCACTCGCGCCGCTTGCAAACTGGCGCACATGGCGCGGCAGGAGGCCGCAGCTGTCTGCGCCCGGGCGGGCACGTATTGCAGTAACCATGCGTCATGTAGGTTTCTCTTTTTACGACTGGGATTCAGCATCGCCTGATGAGCCTGATGCGTGATGACGCGGTCGGTAATCCACAAGTTCTTCGAATTGATTGTATAACGAAGTCATACTCCCTTGGCGAACAAACCCAGTTGGCATTCGAAGGAACTCTCCGGGTTCGAATATATCATCGTCGGGATCCAGTCTCGTTGGGAACAGATGCAAGTTCCACAAGATGAGGAGAACGAGGTAGAGCACGAGACTGGCCATCCAAAGACATCTGTCTCTCGTGCTGCCGTTGAAGAATTCGGAACTCGCTGCATTGATGAGCCCTGCCGCGAACCCTTCGTGAAATCCCATACACGTGAACGAAGCAATGACTGCGCAGAGCTCGGTGACAACACGGGCGAAAGGGTACAATTCGAATTTAGATCGCGCGACGTTCATGAGATAGAGCCTCACGGGGTAAACCGTAGGATATATACCGAAAAAACTTATGGCGCAGGTTGCTGCTTTAGTTAGCATCTGTTGGGCAAGTTGACTTCCTGCTCCAAGCTCAATCTCTGCAGCCATTTCGCGCGGCATTCCATCACACCCGAATACATTAAAAGCCGAAGAAAACAACCACGGCAACATCAACAACAAGCAACAACGGTATGGGATAAGTGTGGCTGACCCTGTAGAATTTTCTATGTGGTTGCTGAGCCTCTCATTGACGAATTCGTCAAATGCTACAATGGGGTATTCGTAGTCCTTCCACAGATACTTGATCATATCCGCAACGACCTCACGATCGCTCTCGAATCTACACTTCGCTCTTCCGAACGCGAACTCTCTACACTGAGACAACATGTTTGACTGTATGTCTAACTTGGTGCGAGTAGCATACCAAGTGGGTACAATCAACGGCAAATACGCGACAATGAAGGTGCAGCCTACGCCAACGAAGAGCGACGAAAACGTCAACAAAGAGGGTTGTTCAACAATACCTGTTGAAGCAATGTACTCTGCTACATGGGGGATCCAAACGAAAAGCTTGCTGGATACAATGATGCTGACAACGTTTAGAGTCATTGTTACAATGATCCATGGCGCAAACCAAAGAGGAAGCATGTCAAGCCTGGCAGCTCCGTTAATCGCTGCAAAGGATGCGACCTCGGCATTGCACCACAAGCGTTCGAAATATGTATCGCTCCACAGGACAATCATCCGATCCGACTTTGCAACAAATTCTGGAATGGCAGTGACACCCTTAATCTGTAGGTCCTTGCGAGTCTGATGGATGCTCAGCTTATCCAGCCACATGGTTTGAATGGGAACTCGAACCATATGGCCACAAAACAACACGACAACAAATACCAACATTGGGACGCCCAAGAATACCATGAGCATACCTGGTTGCGCGTTCATTCCAAATGGGCCGTTGATGATCACCATTATGCAAATTGTCACAATCCAAGCACCGACGCTAGCAATGACAGCCGACTCAATGTTCAAGTAATAATACAATGCCAGAACCTTGAGTCCACGATCCGCTGCCCACACGTGGCTCAGAAACGCTCCAACTCGTTCTACTTGCTGACATGCGTAATATACCTGGTCAGCTGCTTCATGCGCATCGTTGTTTGCATCGAGGAGACCAGCGGGCGATAATTGCGAAGTCGCTTTGGCAGCAGCCGTTTCGAACGCTGATCTACTAAACACTTCCCCGAAGCAACGTAGAACACGCTTGGGGTGGACAGCGCGGAACAAGTCGGGCTGATCTTTCAGAAAGAAGCGCCTGCGTTCAGGCATGCCACCTTCTTCTACTTGGTCAACTGCTTCATGCGCATCGGTCTTTAGATCGAAGAGAACAGCAGGTTTGTCCGCAACCTTCTCGAACGCCGATCTACGGAACACTTCTCCGAAACAACGTAGAGCACGGTTGGGGTGGAGAGCGCGGAACGAGTAGGGCTGATCTTTCGAAAAGAAACGCCTGCGTTCAGGCATGAGTAACATCTAAAGCAATTCAACCTTGGGAGTCAAGGTCATGAGCCAAAATGGCTGCGGATGGGTTCAATAGGACGTCGGGCGGTCTGCGAGCGACCTGGGGCGACTGTAGTGCCCGCTCGGGGCTCTCTTGGGGGCCTCTTGAGCTGTCTTGGGGCGGTGTTGGGGTTTGTTTTGGGTTTTCTAAGGCGCTGATAGGCTAGACACAACAAAAAATGTTAGACATGTACGTCTTCCTTCAGAAATGGGACTTGTTTTGCCCCGTGGTGACCTTGGGGCGAGTCCTCTCGGAACCGTTTTCAGGCCACTTGGGGGCATCTGAGGCCGTTGCGTGGTTGCCTTGGGTTGCCTGGAGGTGTCCGGAAGCCATCTGCGGCCGTCCGGAAGCCTTCTTCGCCCGTCGTGGACTCTGTCGAAAACTACGTTTAGGTCGGGCATGTCCCCCTACAGTCGGATTGTGGCCGAAAAAATTAAAAAATAGACAAACAATACCCCAAAATGATCACACATAGTTTAAAAAATCGTCCCCATTTTTTTACTATTTTTGAATATTCCTTCTGTAGAGGGACAAGCCCGACTTTAAACTACGTGGAGGTTCGGGGTTGGGGCCGGAGCGGCTCTGCGGAGGCGCCATGGGTCGGCCCGGGCAGGCCTCGGGGAGAGATGGGACTTAGAGTATACACGGGCGGCCCCGTGGTGTGTTTACGCCAGCGGCTCTTGGTGTTCTGCAGCCCTGGGGCCAGGAGGAGGAGGAGGAGGAGGAAGAGGGATGAGGAGGAAGAGGAGGAGGAGGAGGCAGGAAGAAGAGGAGAAATAATAAGAATAATCAGACGAATCGTAATAAGAAAACGAAAAACATCATGCTTGGCTGTTAGTCTCTGATGCATGCATGATCTGTGTATATCCGCCGGCCCCCTTGTGGGGCCACCAGGCTGTAGGCGCGAGGTTCGCACTTTGCTGTACCAGTTGTAGCTTGTAGTTTCCAGTGTTACAGTTCTGCTTCTTGCTGGTTACTGTAACTAGTTGACTTATTGCTGGTTACTGTAACTAGTTGATTGACCGCGCGAGGGGGGGGGAGGCCCAAACGGGATTTTTAGCACCCCCTGGGCGCGTTGTCTGAATTGCTGGGGGGCTCGAAATCGACACCCCTCACGCAGATCCGCGGGGTCAGGGTCCAAAAACACAGGGGATTTGCCACATTTCTGAAATTCGGTGCCACCCCTCACGCAGATCCGCGGGGTTAGGGTCCAAAAACACAGGGGATTTGCCACATTTCTGAAATTCGGTGCCACCCTTCACGCACATCCATCGCAAGGCGTGGTAACCCAAACTGCGAGAACTCCCTCGGCCCTTAAATCGCAAGGTGTGGCAACCGAGCCCGTAAACCATACACGTGTTACCAATCGCCAGGTGTGGTAACCCCTCTTGTGATCAGTTGATTTTGCTGATTGCGAATCGGCTTCGCATGAAGTTTCGATACTGTTTCACGACAGCGCCAAGACCTCATGACTTAGCTCTTCCATGGCCCATTCTCCGAGGGAGGGGGCCGGCGGCACGGGGCGAAGCCCTTACGGATAACCTCACCAAGACTTTAAGACCCCCCCCGGGGTTATCGTTAGCACCGCACCAAGATTTAATATGTTCAGGGGGTTCGTTTTCGCAGAGCGATATCTTTAGCACCTCGCACAAACCAAACAACAAACTTCCGTGGCGCGTCGCGCGCCGCTCAAGAAGAAATCCTTTGGGATGCCTTTGAATATGCTGTGCATTTCCTAGGACATGTCACGGACAAGCTAGGGATTGCCTCGAGAATCCCAAGGATCCGAGACCCCCAGGAGATGCTAAGCGCCCGGACGGCGGGGAGCCCAGGGGGGAGTTGCGCCTTGACGGCGGGGAGCCCGAACAGTGCTTGGCAAGGCTCAGCAGGGCTTAGCAGCGCGCAGCAGAGCTTAGCAGGGGCCAGCAAGGCTTGGCATGGGCTTAGCATGGCCCAACGGGGACTATCAAAGCGTGACTTAGCAGGGGCGAGCAGGGCTGAGTGTTTCTTAGCCAGGCGTAGCATGGGGGCTTAGTAGTGGGCTCAGTAGGGCTGAGGGCGAACAGGGCTTAGCAAGGCTCAGCAGGGGAGAGCAGGGCTTAGCAGCTCGCAGTAGAGCTTAGCAGGGGCTATCAAGGCTTGGCATGGGCTTAGCAGGGCTCCGCGGGGATTGGCAAGGCTTGACTTAGCAGGGGCGAGCAGGGCTCAGCAGGGGGCGAGCAGAGCTTGACATTGCTTAGCAGGGGGCTTAGTAAGGGGCTCAGTAGAGCTCAGTGGCGCGAACAGGGCTTAGCAAGGCTCAGCAGGGGATAGCAGGGCTTAGCAGCGCTCAGCGCCGCTCAGCAGGGGCTAGCAAGGCTTGGCATGGGCTTAGCAGGGCTCAGCAGGGGGGCGAGCCTGGCTTATCATTGCTTAGCAGGGCTTAGCGGGAGCTAGCAGGGCTCAGCAAGGCTTAGCTTGGCCCCGAGCGCTCTCTGCGGGCTCCTCTGGTGCCGAGGTAACGCTTCCAGGGTGCCAGATATGTTATACTTTCACTGGATGAGGGTGGGTGGGTGTGGGGGGGGGGTTCTTAAAGGCTTGGTGATGGGTGAGGCTATATATATATATATATATATATATATATACAAGACTGCATTGGCGCTTCGCGCCATGCACCTTGGCCCATAAAGTTCGGCATGCAGGCGGGATGGCAGGAAGGTCAAGCCGGCAATTTAGCGATAACCCCTTGTTGCCTTTTCTGGCATCGTCGTTATCATAATGTTATTCGTTATCCTTCCTCAACGCTTATGTTTCTTCATTCTCGCCATACCCTGCACATTCTCCCCATCCTCCTCAGTTCTTTTTTGCGGAGGCTCCTCCTTGGAGAGCTTCTGGCGGCCTCGCCAAATTTCTCATGCTTTCTCAAGGCCTTTTGGAGGCCTCCTGGGCGTGTTCTGGGGTCCTCTGGGGGTTTCCTCGGGCCACCCTGCCTCCAACCGCGGTCTCCCTGAATGACTGGGTCACGATTTGGAATGCTTCAGAGCGCGTCTTCGGGCCATCTTGGGCCGCCATGGGGCACTCTGAGGGCCATCTTGGACCCCTGTTGTGCCGTTTTGGGGCTGTCTTGGACTGCCTGGAAGCCCTTTCGGATAGTTGTGGGGCGATTTCGCAGCCTCCCAGCCGGCTTCGGACGCCCAGAAGACCGCCGTCTTGGAGCGTCGGGAAGCCGAAAAGAGGATGACCCCATTATATATATATATATATATATATATATACATATATATATAAACAAACAATGGACAATCACAGATTTGTGCCTCTTCGGTCCTTCTTGGGAGTGCTCTTGAAGGCCTCTTGGGACGTTTCGGAGCGATCTTTGGGGGTATGACGGCTTCGTGGGCGTCGTCGTGGACCGTATTAGGGCTCTCTGGGGTCGTTTCGGGAGCGCGCCGGAACGCCTGGAACCCGCCTGGGGCCGTCTTCGAGTGTTGGGAAGGCTTGGCGAAACGCCCTGCGAGGCCCGGGGGGCCGCTTCGAGGCCCGTCCGGAGGGTCCTAGAGCCCCAGATCCCGGGAGTCCGGTTTTGGGGGGGGGTGATGGGTTTTCCCCCCGCCCGGGCTTATAAAAATATAAGAAGAGGAATATGTTGTGGCTCTGCTACGCCTCGGTGGCGGCGAACGGCGCGTGGGTGCGCGCGAAGGCCTGGGCTTAATTGAAAGCGTCGACGAGGGTGGTTTCGCTCGGAGCGTAGCAGGTGGGGTCTCGAGGTGGAGTGACTTTACCGAATGGGCATTGCGTTGGAGCTTGGCCAGCCAAGGTCAGCATGGCTTCCAGCAGCCGTTGCTGCAGCGACCTTGGGTCGAAGTGGATGCCAACGGCATCGTGCCGAAACTGGTTGTTTTCCTGCACTTTCTGCCAGCGGTAGCACCTTTTCTTCAAGAGAAAACCGGTGGCGCTCTGCGAATGTGATATTTTCAGCTCCGTAGTAGTGAACTTCAGTGTAGCCCGAGGTCGTTGTGATAGCCGCTGAGGCCTATGGCCCGCGCTCTCTCCGGGGGGGATGCGGGGCGTCGGCCGTGCCGTCTGCCCTCTGCCATGAACCATCCCCCCAAGCTCGCACCTTTTTTGTCGGCCCCGCGCCTTTCTCGATCGCGCCCTTGCATGACCAACTGGAGGCCGTGTGTGCAACCTGGGAAGCGGGTGTTGGCAGCGGTGTCGGTAAGAATGGTGCGGGCCCTGTCCCTGGCGGTGGCCATGGAGCAGAGGAGCCATCTCGTGCCGGCGTCTTCGTTGTATAGGAGGCAGGCGAGGTGGGTCTGGTATCTGCTGAGGAGGACGTCCTCCTGGGTGTCGCCACGGGATTGCGTCCACGTGGGGACGCGGCCGTCGGGGCGGAATGCCCATCTTGGCTCCCATGGGGGATGGCAGGCGGGGGTAGCTGAGCGTTCTGGGTGAGAGGGGGGAAAGTGGCCATCCATGTTCGGATTCGCGGGCTGGCCACCCAATCGCCCGAGTTGATCCTGCACGCTCACTCCTCGGGGATACCGCCGAGGGAGCGCTGCATGGCGGCTTTGTGGGCGTTCTGCATGGGGGCCACGTTTTCAGAGACTACGATGATGTGGATGGCCGGGGTTTCTTCTGGCAGCTGTGAGCCAGACGAAGTGCACGGAGACCCTTCCCGCTAGCCCGTCGACGCCTCCGTACGTGCCGGCCGTGGAGAGATTGTTACATTGGTTGCCCCCGACGATCAATAGGAGGCTGCCCGGAGCAAGCGAGTCCAGGTATCTCGTCCAGGGGGTGTGGTCCAGGCCCGTGGGGCGGAAAAGGTCCCACATGTCCCCTGCAAGTTGGGAGCACGGGGGGCCGCCGTCGGTGGGGTGGGGGGCAGGGTGCCGCCAGCAGGAGTGACCGACACGCTGGGCGTTTTGTGTGTTGCACTCGGCGAAAACTGAAGCAGCGTCAACAATATTTGTGACACCGCACAGACATCTCATCCCCGAGAAGCCGCTCCTCCGACATATCCCCCCTCTCCTCCTCCTCCTCCTCCTCCTCCTCCTCCTCCTCCTCCTCCTCCTCCTCCTCCTCCTCCTCCTCCTCCTCCTCCTCCTCCTCCTCCTCCTCCTCCTCCTCCTCCTCCTCCTCCTCCTCCCTCCTCCTCCTCCTCCTCCTCCTCCTCCTCCTCCTCCTCCTCCTCCCTCCTCCCCCCCATGTCCTCACACATACACCCCCCTGTGATCCCCGGTGGCCCCATGTGGCCTTGACCAACTGTGGATCTGGGAGCATGTTTGCAAACTCGATGTTGATGGTCTCGCCGCCTTTCAAATCAACCTGGCACATGGCGGGAACATGGATACCGAGTCGGACAGAAAAGCGGCAACACGCCCCGACGAGGAAAGCAGCAAGCCCCGAGACACGGTGTGCATGATCGCAGAAACCACTTCCTCAGCGGATATCGCTACCCTGGGGATGTAGGGTGGGGCAAAGGCTCACGGTGACGCCTGGGGCGGGGTGGCGCGCCGAGATAAACCCGCGAACACAAGTGTGGTGCACACGAACACACGCAGGGCGCCAGCGAACGCCGTTGTCCGTTTGCCGTGAAGCGTCGTCCTCGGCGCGGAAACGCGACGTCAAACTCATGAAGGAAGGTGCGCGGGATCGCAGCGCAATCACAAACAACGCCGTCGAAAATGCATGGGTTCAATACAAAGTTAAGACGAGTCCCCGGGCCGACCCAGCGACCCATGGTGCAACTGCCACTCAACCAACGTGGCAGAACCGGAACGATCTCGCCATCCCTCCGACCACCTGTTCCCCCTCCACCCCCCGAAGCGCCTCATTGGAAAATCCCTTTGAGGGCTACACTGATTCGGGCTCGCACGCAAGGCACCCCAGGGATGGATGACACACCCACAACCCAAACCTGGGATGACACTCTTACCACTCAACGTCGAAACTGTCAGTGGCATGCGTGCTTTGGCTCTTGCACGGAACGCCGAGGGACAGGAGGAGCTGGGAGACGAGATGGGGGGGGGGTTCTGGGGCCGTCCTGGGGCTCAGTGGGGCCATCATGGAACGACAACGGCCAATCAGAAGGAGTGGGCAGGGGGTCGACAAACGAACGTATCATAGCAAACGAACGGCGAATATTCCCCGGTGGCGTATTCAACCCTTTCTGAGCAACAGACGAAAACTCACAAACACACACACGTAGGTAGTTTATCATGTATGTTTGAATGGATGTATGTATATATCCATGTATCTAAGTGCTTATATATGGACAAGTGACCATATAGGCGTATGTATACACATGTATACACATACATACATACATCCATGCATGCATCCATCCATCCACCCATCCATCCATCCATCCATACATACATATAATGCCACTCAGGAAAAGCAGGCATGCTGACACACCTGCATTGCGCATGCGCTACCAGACATACTCAAGAACATATGCAAACATGTGCAAGGTAGAGGCGGACGCAGGTGTCAATGAGGGACATGCATGTTCAAAAGCAACAACAACGCCGACCGCTACAGACGCGGGGAACAACAACGCCATGCGCGCGCCCTATTGCAGAACAGCGCGCCGTGCTGAGCGAGGTCAGCGCGCGGGGTGGCATGGCGGGCCAGAGGCAGCCGAGGATGGGAGGCCACGCGGACAAACTAACACAGCACCGCGCGCTGCGTGGCGCAATGACACCCTGCGAGCTGCGATGCGACAGAGCCGAGCGCTGCGTGACAGGACATCGCCGCGACCGAAGGACCCCCCTGCCATTTTGGATGCGCACGTGGTCGTCAATTGCATTTCTCTTCGCGACCTCCCAAACCTACGTAGATGGCGACAATTGCGCACTTCGCAACCCCACAAAGAGCCGCGAAATCCCAACTTGATCACCGTACAACTCCACTCCGCGCGACTTCCCAGGAGCCGCGAGGTCCCACCTGGATCCTCGTAAAACTCCACTCCGCGCGACCTCCCACGAAACTGACGACCCCTGCGCACCTCGCAGCCCCCCCCCCCCTCAGACAACCGCGAGTTCCCAACTGGATCCCTGCACAACTCCACCCCGCGCGACCTCCCAGGAGCCTACGACAATGGCGACGATTGCGCACGTCGCAGTCCTACAAAAAGCCGCGAAGTCCCCACTGGATCCCCGTACAACTCCACTCCGCACGACCTCCTAACAACCTGCGAACGACATGTCAATTGCGCACTTCGCAGCCCCCCAAGGCGCCGCGAAATCCCAATTTGAGCCTCGTACATCTTCACTCCGCGCGACCTCCCAAGAGCCTACGAAACTGGCGACACTTGCGCACTTCGCAGCCCCCCAGGGAGCCGCGAGGTCCCAATTGGATCCCCGTACGACTCCACTCCGCGCGACCTCCCAGGAGCCCACGAACGAAACGACTGTTGCGCACTTCGCAGCCCCCCCCCAGGGAGCCGCGCGGTCCCAACTGGAACCCCGTACAACTCCACTCCGCACGACCTCCCAGAAGCCCACGACAATGGCGACCGCTGCGCACTTCGCAATCCCCCGAGGGAGCCGAGAAGTCCCGACTGGATCTCCGTGCAACTCCACCCCGTGCGAGCCCAAGAACAAAAGCAACAACGAGCTGCGCACTTCGCAGCCCCCCAGGGAACCGCGAGGTCCCAATAGGATCCCCGTACGACTCCACTCCGCGCGACCCCCCAGGAGGCCACGAAAGTGGGCGATGTCGACAGCACACACCGAAGAGCAAGGGAGCACGGGCACAAGAACGATGCTTGCGACAGGAGGCACCAAGTAGGAGGCACGAAACAGGAGGGGGAGGAGGAAAGGAGACGGAAGTGGGAGTGGAGACCACAGTGCTCTATTCAAAACGAAAGGCCAACACAGGAGGGCTGGGAGTGAAGGACTCCGACCTGCAGAACACGGCTGTGCAAGAGAATGAGCAACTCAACGGGGAACCAACTTGGGAACGTCTTGGGCTGTCCTGAAGCCACGGGGGCCAAACGATGAGGTCACCACCTCAGAGAGAACGTAAAGCTTTTGATAGAGCTTGACGCTTTCAGCATTTGGATCTTGGGAGCATGCGAGACGGCCTTTCGGGGCCCCAAGAGGTGCCCCCCCCTCAAACACACAAACAAAAACGTGTGCTGGCCCACTCAGAAGGTATACAATGCTCTCTGGCTCAACCTACCGTCCACCCCGAAACCATTGCAAAGTCAAAACAACCAGCGTTTCAAGACGGCCAAGATGACCCGAGACGGTCGAAGATAGCCTCCAAGGCCAAAGACGCCTCCAAGTCGGTCCATGAGGCTTCCAAGGCGCCCTAGAAGGCCTCCAAGATGACCCTTAAGAGGGCGCCAACGGGCAACAATCATTGGTTGTCCTGACATGTTGTTCAATGACGTCGGCGCTCTCGCCCGCGAGAGCTTCCAACAGGCTCAGACGGCGCACGAGCCCTCCAAGATGGCTCAAAAGATCCCCGAACGGGTCCCAAGACGGTCTAAGGCTGCCTCCAAGACGGCCAAGACGATCTCAAAGTAGGCCAAGACGGCCCCAACGTGCCACCAAGATGCCCCAAGAGGGCCCCGAGAAGACCCCAAGAGGCCACCTCCTCGTCCGCGTGTTCCTCTTCCACCTCATCCCCCTCCTGCTCTCTCCCCGCTTCCTTTCTCAAGTGTTCCCCAACAGGTTCTCACAACGGCTGGGGGACCACATGGTCCACCAGGACCCCTCACGAAGACCGCAACATCAAGAGATCTCCGAGATGTCTTCCAATTGGCCAAGCCGGCCCAAGTTAGCTTCCAATCTGAGTATCGTTTAACCGGTCCCCATCCCCAGCGGCGTGGCCTGGGCCCCACTGCCGATTTACCCCCCTGGATGGGGACATAGGCTGCTCCCTTCGGGTTTCGAGGGGTGTATCCCCAACTTGGGGGGGTAATTTGGTGGGGGTCCTGTAGGGGATGGAGATGGGGGTGGGGATTTGTGAAACGATACCGACCCAAGTTGGCCTCCAGTACGCTTCACACGACCAAGGACGCCCCGAGAGGGCCCCGAGGCTCTCGTGGCAGTCCTGCCTGGCCGTCTCGGAGGCCTTCGGGGTCGGACTGCGAGGCCCCAAGCAGTGCAAACGCCTAAGGCTTACAGAGAGCAGTTGGTGCACTTCTCGCCCCTTCGGCCTCAAGAGCGCCCAAGACGGTCCAACAATCAGTATCGTTCAACCAATCCCCACCCCCATCCCCATCCCCTTCGAGACCCCCACCAGTTAACCCCCCCAAGTTGGGGATACACCCCCCGAAACCCGAAGGGAACAGCCTATATCCCCATCCAGGGGGTTGAATCGGCCAGTGGGGCCCAGGCCACGCCGCTGGGGATGGGGACCGGTTAAACGATACTCAAACAATTCTAGCCTTTTCCGTCTTAGGAACCCCTAAGACCGGTCCCAAGAGAACCCACATACGGCACGCGAGGATCCCAAGACGGGTCAATAAAGCCCCATTGCGACCTTGAATCCCACCAGCCCTCTGGGCGGAGGTAGCTTAGTCTTCTTGCACCGCACTGTTTGCACTGCGCTTAGGACGGCGGTGCTGCACCGCATTGCTTGCTTTGTAGTGCGATGCGTCGGAGGAAAGGCGACCCAACTCGGGGTCGCGCCAGTTCATTGTTGGGAATCATGCACTAAGCACTCAGTGCTAAACGACATGGTGATATCAGACATGCGAGCGCCAACATGTTTGCACGCCGTGACGTGGACATAGTGTCTATGGAGTGCTAGAACACCAGGGTGGTTGGACACCGCTCGACATCGAAGGCCTGCAAGATTCACCGACAAAAACAAACATCGCCACCCAGACAGCTTGGCAATGCTTGTATCGACTGGATGGGCGTTGTCGGGTTACCCCAAGGAACCGCCTATCAACACCTGCGAGGGCGGCCGTTTCGCGACTGCCGAAGCATGCGCCGGGGGAAGGACTGAGAAGCGGCCATGCTGCAGACCAGCCGCTTGGTGTCTGGAGCTCCCCCCAGGGAAAGCAGGCCCTTCGAGACGCGGGCCACCCGATGGGGGAGACCGCCTGCACACGCGGACTCTCTGGGGCGGAGCAGCACCCCGCCTCGTAGACCACCGACGGCGAGGTGACGATGAGGTCCATGCCGTACCTGCCGAGCTCCGGCAGCCGCGTGCGCGGTGCGGCCCCCTCCCCCCCGCGGCCTCCGCCGCCGACGCTCTGCCAGCACGAGGGAGGCACCAACTATGCACCCACACCGATCCTGGCCAGGATCACCCTGGGCCCAGGATCGGTGCATACGCCCTCCTGCCTTGGGCAAGAAGGCACATACACCGATCATGGGCCCAGGGTGATCCTGGGCCATGACCCGGTGTTGGTGTGCAGTTGCTGCCCTCCGAAGCACGAGGCGCGGGCCCCGCCCCGACGCGCCAGGCCTGCACGCGCCGAGGCGCCGCCCCCGCGCAACAAAGGCCACCGTCGTCCGCACCGTGCCGCCTCCCGGTCGGCACCGCGCCCCGAGCTCCACCCGGAGGGAGGAGCAGGAGGAGGAGGAGGAGGAGGAGGAGGAGGAGGAGGAGGAGGAGGAGGAGGAGGAGGGGGAGGAGACGGAGGAGGAGGAGGAGGAGATGGAGGAGAGAGGAGAGAGGAGAGAGGAGGATGGCGAAGAGGAGGACGACGCACAGTGCAGGCACGGGACGGCCGCCGACCAGCCGCGGTCGGCCAGGCCCTCGGCGCTGGAGGCGGTGCCTGGGCAGACCGAGCGAGCGCGGGCAGACGGTGCACACACGAGGGGGGGCACGCAGTGAAGGAAGAGGGCGGATGGGAAGGGAGGGAGTCCTCCTCCTCCTCCTCCTCCTCCTCCTCCTCCTCCTCCTCCTCCTCCCTCTGGGAGAGACAGGCGAGGAAAGAAGGGAGGGGGAGGGTGGAGTTGGAGTGAAGGAGGAGAAGACATCCGTACGCACAATTTCTCGGAGGTCCGTGCGGACCGCCGAAAGTTCATGTCTGTGCCGTTCTTCCTTATTCGATGGAGGGAGTATTGGCTGCGTGGACAAAGGGGTAGGGGGAGGGGGGGAGGGCTTCTTAGCAGGAGGCTGCTTCTGAGAAGGTGCCAGCCTCGCATCTGAAGATAAGGCCCGCGCCTTCTAGAAGTAGGAGTGCTTCTAAGAGGTCTTCCCCCACCCTCCCCTGCGCGTGGCCGAAAGGAGGGAGCTCGTGGTTTTGAAGTCCAAGCAAAGCTCAGCGCAAAACCAACATTTTGACATTGGCTGTTCTGTGGCACTCAGGCTCGGACCGCTTAGCACAGTTCGGGTACGGCGGGGGTCGTGCGATGCCCCATCCGACCTCTCACACGTCCCTGTCCAGTACGTCGGTATAGCAGTAGCGGCGCACATATCATCAAGCATCAGCAGTCATCATCATCATCATCATCATCAGCATCATCATCATCATCGTCGTCGTCGTCATCATCATCAGCCTCATCATCAGCAGCAGAAGCATCAACATCAGCATCATCACCACCACCACCATCATCATCATTATCATCATTAGCATCATCATCAGCAGCATCATCATCGTCATCATCATCACCATCATCCACCATCATCATCATCAGCAGCATCATCAGCATCAGCATCTTCATCGTCATCGCCATCAGCATCAGCATCTTCAGTATCATCATCATCCTAACACTTATGAACCATCACTTACCAGTCATCACCATCAATAGCATCAGTATCATAATCACCAGCTGCATCAGCATCGGCACCATCATTAACATGATCATCATCACCACCACCATCATCATCAGCATCACCATCAGCATCATCATCACCAACACCATCATCACCATCACCATCGTCATCGTCATCGTCATCATCATCATCATCATTATCATCATCATCATCAACAACATCAACATCAACATCAACATCATCATCATCATCATCATCATCATCATCATCATCATCATCATCATCATCACCCCTGTGTTCATTCTCCCGCCTTCCCCCGCCCCTCGTCTCGGAAGTGGTGGGCCAGGACGGCAGCCCGAGGCTGGCGCTCGCTTTGGCAGCTGGTCTTGGCGTCGCGGCGGTGGCGGCGGCGGGGAGCGCGGAGCGCTGGGGGCGCGGGAGGAGGAGGCTCGCAGCAGCAGCAGCAGGAGCGGTCAGGAGCTCGCAGCAGCAGCAGCGGAGCCCAGGCCCCCGAACCCCCGTTGAACACCAGAGCTCAGGCAGTCGCTGGAGACATCCCGCGCGCGGGCGCGGGCGTCGCTGCCGCGGAGGCTGGCCCACATCCCCCAGAGGGGGCGGGCGAGCGTTCCAAAGGGTCCTGTCGGTTCCAGGGCTTCTGTCGGTGAGGCACTGCCCCCTCTGGTGGAACGTTTCCTTTTCACGAGTCGCACCGCATGGTTCGTGCTCAAGGTGTGGCTTTCTGTAGTGTGTGCGGAGGCTATACGTCTTCGGTCCGTGTAATGCAGCTTGGCGAGGCCTGCCCACATCGCCACGCCTCGCAGCGCCATCAGGAGGGTTTGAAGCGTCTGAAGCGCGGTTTGCGCCCCACCAAGGGGGGGGGGGTCGCAAGCAGAGCTCGGCCCTCCCTCCCCTTGCCTCCTCGGAATCGCCCGAGGACGCCAGCACGCAGGAGGAGCCCTCAGACGTAGCGTAGCAGTGCGAGGGGGGGAGACCGCGACTCGGCGGCTGCCCCCCTGGGAGAGCGGGGCCATCATCATGATGACCATGATGAACCGCCAAGATCGAAGCATCACCATCATCACCACTAGCATCAGCATCACCATCGTCATCAGAATCATCAACGTCACCACCACCAGCGACGAGATCTATACATATCCACTGCTCCTGGCCAGGCCCATCCTGGGCCCGGGAGCGGTGCATACGCCCTCGTGGCCTAGCCAGGGGGACATATACACCGCTCCTGGACCCAGGATGGGCTTGGCCAGGAGCAGTGGATATGTATAGATCTCGTCGCCCACCATCATCACCAACAACATCATCATCATCATCACCACCATCATCACCAACAACATCATCATCATCATCATCATCATCATCATCGGAGGAGTGCGCGCGTGGAAAGGGTGGCTCGCCCCAGCACGGGCCGCCGGCCGTCAAAACCGCGTCCACCGTCTGGGGGGCCGCCGCTCCGCCGTCTAGCCGCAGGCTGCCCGACCTCTCCACCTCGCTCCTGATGGGCCTGTTTTCCACCACCACCACCACCATGAGTTGGAGGGGGGAAGGAGGTGGAGGACAAGGAGGAGGAGGACGAATACGAGGAGGAGGAGGACGACGACCCCCTCTCACTCCAACTTATGGCGGTGGTGGTGGAAAACAGGCCAATCAGCTTCTCTGTTCTAGTTGAGCGTGGGCGGATGCCCGACTGCCTACCACAGGCGGCGCGCCTGGGGGGAACGGACCAGGGGCGGGCCTTTTTTCAGGAGACTCGGAAGTGTTGCGGCCTCCTGGGAAGTTGTCGAAGCTTTCCCCGGAGACACAGACCACTTCGCAGAAGGCGCGAGGTTGTCTGAGAAATCCCGCCGTCTTCTGAGAAGGCCGTTTCCTTCTCACGTCCCCCTCTCCGTCGCCGATGCCATATCACCCCAACAGAACCCGACTACCTCAATTTCGGCTTTGGGGGGGGGGGGGGTGCGGGTTCCACATGTTTTGTTTCAATGTCCCCCGCCCCCCCCCACTAGGAATGGAAGGCAATTCGAGGCCTTCGGGTTGGGTTAAGGTGGTTTGGCGGGTGGTGAAATCAGGGATGGGGCTGAGAAGGACCAGGCGTGAATTAGGTTGAGGAGGTGGTGAAAAGGTGGAGGTGAGTTGGGTTGAGGAAAGCTTGGGTTGGGTTGAGGAGGGCCTAAGTTGGGTTCAAGAGGGACCGAAGTGGCTTAAGGAGGAGGGGGTGAGAGGTGGGCAGGCGCGGAATGAGAGACGGAAGGGGGGGGGGGAGGAGGCAGCGAGGAGGAGGAGGAGAGATTCAGAGGGGCAGGGGCATGGGAAGAGGGAGGAGGAGGAGGAGGAAGAGGAGGAGGAGGACGAGGATGCCGAGGAGAAAGAAGAGGAAAAGGAGGCGCAGGAGGAGAAGGAAGAAGAGGCACAGGAGGAAGAGGATGAGGAACAAAAATAGGAGGACGTAGTGCGTAGCGAAGAAAACACGTGGTGCGCATTACGGTCTACAATTCTACTGGAGCACAATGGAATTCACGGTCGTGCGGCCAAATGCTCCAACTCTGAATCATGCTGCCGAGGCCGTGGTTCAACACTTGTGTGGTATCCAAGCTCACACACACACACATTGCGTGCTGCTTTTTCGAGCACAACTCAAGGGCGACGCGTGGAAAATTGTCGGAACCGATGACTGCGTAGAGTATGACGAATGCCATATGCGCACATCAGCCGCGTCTCCAATCTACGAAGGGGCCGACGGGCATACAAACCACAAGCACAAATCTCCGAGTTCCCCAGATTTTCGTATATTTTCTGGGCATTCGGCTCTCCCCCCCCCCCCACTCGCAATATTTTCCCATGCTTCTTTGGGAACCGACGATTCGTTGTGTCTGCGTGGCTTCCCCTCCCGAAATATATGACGAGCGCCAGCTGCGTGCAGCAGCCGCGTCTCCATTCTGACGGTGCTCCATATGCTATTATTCATGGCGCAACTGTGGCTCGGGGCCCCGGCCCAGCACGACGCTCGACGCTTGAGCCAGGCAGCTTCGAGTTCCGCACCGGCCAACCGAACACAGCACGGCCGTCCAGGAGAGGCATGGGGGCAGCTTGTCTGACGTCATCGCCTGGCAATTGCCGGCCCCCGCGGTCGACTGGCTGACCGTTTCCGCTCTGGGGCGCTGCAGTGTGCGCCTGCGTGCTGGCCGCGGCGACTTGCAGCGTCTGCCGAAGGCATCGTCCTGCGACGGCCTTCTATGCTCCCCTCCTCCTCCTCTTCCTTCTCCTCCTCGCCCTCCTCCTCCTCTTCCTCCTCCTCCTCCTCCTCCCCCCCTTCCTTTTCCTCTTCCTCCTCCACCTCCGCGTGGCCCGTGACGCGCGAACGGGTTCGTCTTCCCTGGCCGCCCCTGCCCGCGCCCGCGGGGGGCAGCCCGGCGGCGGGCGCTGCCGCGCGCCGCGGGCGTGAATTCTC